ATTGCCCTGTTAAAGTAAATTCAAAGGGAATGATAACTTCTGAGGGAAGTCAACACAGAAATGATTATGATCATATAGGCTATAGTCATTCTGTAGGAAATGGAAACTTTTTTGTTGGCAGTAGGACTGTTGGTTCTAGTTGTCACAGTTCTTTTAGAAAAGATGCTAGGGACTCAGATCCCACAACTCCTGATGGGAGGATTAGTGAAGATAAGGACTTGAATATTTTAGAGGTTGAGATTAAAAAGCCTGGTCTAAAGTAGTTAATAGGAAGAAAAGCAAGAAGAAGAAATGATAGGTCTCTTTTGGAATATAAGAGGTTTGGGCAAAATAGGAAGATTACCTGCTTTAATTAATAGGATTAGGAGCACAAGAGCTGATTTTGTAGGGATCATGGAAACTAAGGAGTCTTTTACTTCTGGCTATCTTAGATCTCTTACTGGTAATGTGCCTTTTGAGTGGTTCTATCTTCCTGCCAAAAAGTCTATTGATGGCATCCTGGTTGGAAGCAATAGTGATAAGTTTTCAGCTATTTTAATTTCTACTTTAGATTTCTCTGTTAGCATTATGTTGTAGGATAAAAAGACAGGTTTTAGCTAGAAATTAGTAGTAGTTTATGGTTCTCCTTATGAAGAGGGGAAGGAATCTTTCATAAAGGAATTACATTCTATTATGGAGTCCTGGCAGGGGCCTGTTATCCTAGGTGGTGATTTTAATCTGATTAGATTTGCTTCTGACAAAAATAATGCTGGGATTAATTATAGATGGGCTGATGCTTTTAATGATTGGGTGCATAAGTGGGCTCTGCTGGAACTCAGTGCATCTAATAGAAAATAGAGAGAATTCCTTATTTGACACTAGGAAAATGAGTCGTTCCTTTCTTGGCCCTGAAATTTTCTTCGTTCCCTATTTGACACTCACTTCAACTTTCATCCCTAATTTGACACTACCGTCAAATCCGTTAGCTAACGGTGTTAACTGGCTGTTAAAAAGACATTTTTGCCCCTAGAAAAAAAGCGGCGAAGCAAATTTGAGAGGAAAAAAAAACCTGCGCCTTTTTTTGCAGCTGGGCGCATGCATCAGAGGCGGGCGCAGGTTTTTTTTCCTCTCAAATTTGCTTTGCCACTTTTTTTTCTAGGGGCAAAAACGTCTTTTTAACAGCCAGTTAACACCGTTAGCCAACGGATTTGATGGTAGTGTCAAATTAGGGATGAAAGTTGAAGTGAGTGTCAAATAGGGAACGAAGAAAATTTCAGGGCCAAGAAAGGAACGACTCATTTTCTCAGTGTCAAATAAGAAATTCTCTCTAGAAAATACACTTGGACAAATAACCAAGATAATTTGGTTATGGCCAAAATAGATAGAATTTTTGTGTCTACTAAATGGGATAGTGGCTTTCCTTTAGCAACGTACTATTAAATGTCTAGATAGATTTCCTAGTGATCATAACCCGCTGGTCTTGGAAACTGGTTCTAATGTTTTCTTTGGCAAGAAACGTTTTAGATTCAAAAAGTGGTGGCTCTACCAGGATGGTTTTTCTGATATTGTCAAGAAAGCCTGGAACACTCCTTGTAATATGACTAATAGTTTAGATAAATGGCAATTTAAAATTAGGACTCTTCGTAGGTTTGTTAGGTGTTGGGCTTTGAATGAAGTAGCTTGGCTGAATAAATATAAAAATGAGCTTGCTTTGGAATACAATGACTTGGAAGCCGAGTTAGATTCTAGGATTTTATCTGAGACGGAGAGGGATAGAATGGACTTTGTTTCTAAGGAATTAGAGAAGATTTGGGGTTTAGAAGAGATTAAGGCGAGGCAGAGATCTAGAGATAGAAATATCCTAGAAGGGGATAGGAACATGGCATATTTTCATGCTGTAGCTAATCAGAGAAGTAGAAAGAAGAGGGTAGAGGTTCTAGAAGGCCCTAATGGTCTAGTAGAGGACCAGAAGGGGATGATGGACATTGCTTTAAATTTCTACAAACATTTATTTAGAAGAGAGGACAAACCCCCTATCTCTTTAGGTCAAGATTTTTGGAGACATGAGGATTTAGTGAGTAGTAGTGAGAATGAGTTGCTAACTGTTCCTGTCTTTGAAGGAGAAATTAAGGAAGCGGTTTGGAGTTGCTATGCTGATGGTGCACCTAGGCCTGATGGGCTCTCATTTATGTTTTATCATAAATTTTGGGATTTGATTAAGACTGATTTAGTTGATATGTTTAATGATTTTCATAGAGGGAATCTTGATTTGAAAAGACTTAACTTTGCTATGATTTCCCTCATCCCTAAGGTAGATGAAGCTAGATCCATGAAAAATTTTAGACCTATCAGTCTCATTAACTGTAGTTTTAAGGTGTTTTCCAAAGTGTTAACTCTTAGATTATTAAAGATTATTAATAGATTAATTTCTCCTCAATAAAGTGCCTTTATTCAAGGTAGATATATTTTAGAGAGTGTTGTGATTGCTCATGAATTAGTACATAGTCTTAATAAATCAGGTGAACCTAGTTTAATCCTGAAATTAGACTATGAGAAGGCATACGACAGAGTTTCTTGGGATTTTTTGTTTGAAATCCTTAGGACTAGAGGTTTCAGTAACACTTGGATTGATTGGATTAGACATTTAGTCATTGGAGGCTCTGTGGGAGTCAACCTTAATGGCGAAGAAAGTAGTTTTTTTCAAACCTAGGAAGGGGTTAAGGCAGAGTGATCCTATCTCCCTTGCTTTTTAATCTAGTAGGTGATGTTTTTACAAAAATGCTCCAGAAGGGGGCTGAGAAAGGTATTATTAAAGGGATAGCAGAAAACTTTAGGGTAGGCGGTGTTGTGTCTCTGCAGTATGCAGATGACACCATTTTTTTCTAGAATTGAGGAGGAATACACTAGGAACCTAAAAAGTATCCTCATTTGGTTTGAACAGTTGTCTGGTATGAGGATCAATTTTCATAAAAGTGAGTTAATTCCAATGAATGTTGAATCTGAAGCAGTTCACAATCTTGCTCATTTGTTCTCCTGTTCGGTTGGTACCTTACCTATCAAATATTTAGGGGTCCCTTTGCATTATGAGAAGCTTAGTAGGGAGGACATTCAGCCTCTACTTGATAAAATATTGAAGAAAATAGCTTGTTGGAGGTAGGTTGTTGTCTTACGTAGGGAAACTAGTTCTCATCAAGTCTTGTTTAGCTAGTATTCCTGTATACTTACTCTCGTTTATTAAATTTCCTAAGTGGGCCATTAGAGTTCTACACTCTCATCTCGGTAATTGCTTATGGGATGATAGCCCCACATCCCGTAAAATTCATTTGGCCAACTGGGAGAGTGTCAGTATGATGAAAGAGTATGGAGGCCTAGGTGTTCCTAACTTGAGAGATTTAAATTTATGTCTCTTAGCTTCTTGGGTTAAAAGGTATAATCTAGATGGTGATAAGATGTGGAGATAGTTTTTAGACTTCAAGTACAATACTGATAGACCTAACATTTTTTATAGCTCCTCCTCTAGAGCCTCTGAGTTCTTTAAAGGTATGATGAGAGCTACTTCTGCAACAAAAATGGGATATAGATGGCATATAGAAAATGGCAAGAAGTGCAAGTTTTGGGAAGATAATTGGTTAGGTACTTCTAGTCTAGCTATTCAATATTGGGAGATCTACGTGTTAATTAATAAGAATGATGCTACTGTTGCATCTCTGTGGGATGGTATTGATTTGAAATGCACTTTTAGAAGATGTGTCGATGGTAGATTATACAATCTTTGGTTAGAAGTGGTCCAGTTAGCTTCTACTATTAGTTTTACTGATGAGGAAGATTCACTAATATGGCAGTTTAGTTCTCATGGTGTATACTCTTCACAGTCCTTATATAAAGTCATTAATTTTAGGGGTATTTCTCCTGTGTATGTTCCTGTTGTTTGGGCACTGAAGGTCCCACCTAGAGTCCATTTCTTTCTGTGGTTGTTATCTAAAAACAAGGTTCTGATTAGGGATAATTTGAGTATCAGGAAGAAAATCAAGGATCCTACTTGTTTGTTTTGCTCGGAGGCTGAAACTGTCGATCACTTATTTTTTAATTGTGTAGTAGCTAAACAGCTTTGGTCCATTCTTTCTGAGATCTTAAATAGACAAGTTGGCATAGACTTTGTTTCTATTGGGACTATGTGGATTAGTAATAGGAAATTTATAGTGGAAAATATTTTTTGTGCTGCTGCCCTATGGGGGCTTTGGAAACTAAGAAACAGCCTGTATTTTCAGGGAACACTCTGGGTAGATGTGCGAGTGCTGATAGTGAAGGTAACAGCAATGCTGCACAATTGGAGTTCTCTGTGTCCGAAGGAGAAAGTCCCAGAATTTCTGAATCACCTGGACAAACTGAAAAGCTTCGCCACAAGACCTCACCGACTACCTGGCTTAGTCAGGTGAATGATGAATGAGATCGCATCTTATATCAATCTGGAAACGATTGGAAGATCAATACAGTATCTGATGAAGCTAAAGCTCTACTGACAAGGATGGCTCGTGAAAGAAAATGGATTAGCTTTGCGAGTCTTGCGAAAGCGGAGGATGTAATGGTGTCAGCAGTTAGTTCTGCTATACTGTGTATTTGTTTTGCCTGTTGAGACTTTCTGCGCGTTCTGGTAGAATTCTGAACTCCGAATGTTGTAAGGCCGGGGGCCACCTTGAGCTCTAAAAAAAATCAATCGATCGTCCTGTGCTTGGTTCTTGCGCTCGCGTGAGAGTTTGGAAGCGTCTTCTTTTCGCTTCTGTTTGATCTGGTCCTGTCCGTCCAATCCAACCCAAACTCCTCGCTTCATCCCAAAGGGACGGGACGAGAAAAGATCCTCCATGGCCAGGCGCCCTGTCCACCGTCGCCATGGCGGCCGGTTGGTGTTCTGTTCCTTTCCATGTACCATCGGCCTAACGAACCAATCATCATCCTCATCCGTTTCTCGGTAGCACCTGAACTCTGGATCAGTCGCCCAAGAGAAGAAGAGAGAGAGACACAGAATGCGGCAGATCTCGTCTCTGCTGCAGGGCCTGGCCTGGTCGCTCTCGGTGGGGAGGGACAGGAAAGGGGACGGCGCAGGCGACGGCGGCAAGACCGCCATGCCGGCGGTGCTGCGGACGTCCGGCACCCTGTGGGGCGAGGGCTCGGAGACGTTCGCCGCCGTCTGCTCGCGGCGCGGCGAGAAGGGCATCAACCAGGACTGCTCCATCGTCTGGGAGGTCAGCTTCAGCTACACCGCTCTCTCTTTCTCCGTGCAACTCGGCTCCTGCTGTATGCTCTGCTTCTTCAGCATGTTCGGGAGGCCGTATCGTATCGTGGATTATTTTCTGCTGGTGGGTTTGGTGTGAGAGAAAAATACTGTTCCCAACTGGAAATTTACGATCGTTTACGAGCCAGCGAACATGTTTGCTTCCTTTTAATTTCGTTCATCTTTTTTTCTATTGGAATTTTCGGTGGCATCAAGTTGTCACTGCACGTGATATTTCCGTGGAATTTTACAGAATCTGGAAAATTTCTCGTCGGGCTCATGCGTTCTATGTAAAGAAACCAAACAAACAGCTTTCTTGCTGTGCTTGTGTGCTGAACAAACAGTGAGCCTTGACTTGTCTTTCCGTTGCTCACCTAATCAGTAATTTATATTTTTGTTTTTCAGCATCAGATTGATGTTTCAGCCCATTTTGTGTTTCTGAGAAATATTAAAAAAAAACACTTTTTTAAGCAAACGTATACTAGTAAGCACCTTTTTTTGTTTCAAAGAGCGTGTTCCAGTGATAAGGCCAATTAGGGAGGCATAGGTATTGGAGCACGAGTCTGGTGTTTCCTCTTGGCTTTCTAGGGCTTTCTCTTTCTCACAATACAGAGGGGTCATACGTGTCCTGATTTGCTGCTTGCTCTAGGAGGAAGATGTTTTTCATTGTTACTGCTGATGATAATGATATCTTTTTCAGCTCCTGGCATCTGAACCCAAGGTAGCAGCAGCTTTGGGGTAGTAATAGTAACCTCACTGCCTAAGATGGAAAGTTAACCACATCATCACATAGAAGATTTGTACTCCCACAAGTCCCCACACAACACATTCTTGAGAGTTCTTCATGGACGCCATACTTGTTGTCGTGCTAGGGCTTTTATTTTTGTTTTGTTGTCTGAATTTATATATTTTTTCCCGTGTTGTCTAACTAATCTGGCTTGTTAATTCTGCAAACCAAACCATCCAATAGAATGAGGACAAGCATGACCTACTGCTAGGCACCTCAAATGGATGGTTGGTTCAGTTGGTTGTGTGTGATGTCACAGTGGAATCGTAAATTGTCGCTTATCATGCAATGATTGTACAGCATAAGATTAACAATCCCCTTGAAGCTCAACCACACATATAATGCCAAACAGGCAGAACATTACCCAGCATAAAGAATCATCACACCAGCTGCTGGCAAAGGCAAACCCCATGTGTGAAGAGAACTCGCAGCATTTTTTGCTTCAATTTTACCCACTCAATTCGGCACAGTTAAAGAATGTTTTGGAACCTGAGAAAATCTTAAGAAATTCATTTCACACGGCACGATTCCTTCATAGTTTCATTCATGAAAAAAGAATTACTGCTACTACTAGTTTTGTATAGAATTCCTGCTTATGTTCTGAAGAAAGCTTGTTCACATGGCTTTTCTATCATGTCTTCATGGTTTCGGGTGCCAGGAGGACACCATCTTGTGCGGCATCTTCGACGGGCACGGCCCGTGGGGCCACTACGTCGCCAAGGCCGTGCGCGACTCGCTGCCGCCGTCGCTGCTGTGCCACTCGCAGGACAGGAGGCGCTCGCGCTGGCGTCGCTCATCGACGGCGAGAAGAGGCTCGGCGACTGCCAGTTCGACCTCTGGAAGCAGTCCTACATGGCCGCGTGCGCCGCCGTCGACGACGAGCTCCGACGCAGCCGCCGCTTCGACGCCGTCCAGAGCGGCTGCACCGCGCTGTCCATCGTCAAGCAGGGGGACCTCATGGTCATCGCCAACGTCGGCGACTCCCGGGCCGTCCTGGGCACCACGTCCGACGACGGCGCCGTCGCGGCCGTCCAGCTCACCGTCGACTTCAAGCCCAACCTGCCACGTAAGTCACGGCTGTCCGCGCGCCCTGAGCCCCTGACCGGCCATGCATTCTTGGGACGGCGGCCGTTGCTGACGTTGTGTCCTGGAACGCGATGTCGATGTGCAGAGGAGAAGGAGCGCATCCGGCGGTGCAATGGCCAAGTGTACTGCCTCGCCGACGAACCCGGCGTGCACCGCGTCTGGCAGCCCAACCGGGAGTCGCCGGGGCTCGCCATGTCGCGCGCGTTCGGCGACTACCGCGTCAAGGACTGCGGCGTCATCTCGGTGCCAGAGGTCACGCAGAGGAGGATCACCAGCGGTGACCAGTCCGTCATCCTCGCCACCGACGGGGTAGCTTTCGTGCCTGCCTGCCTCCCTTTCGCAAAGACACGCACTCGCCTTTTCTATACGTACGGTGGTGCGTGCGGTGCCTGATGACTGACGATGACAAGCGGGAACTTTTCCCGGCAGGTGTGGGACGTGCTCTCCAACGACGAGGCCGTGCAGATCGTGGCGGGGACGCCGGACCGGGAGAAGGCGGCCAAGCGGCTGGTGGAGTGCGCCGTCCGCGCGTGGAGGCGCAAGCGGCGCGGCATCGCTGTCCACGTCAAGGAGAGGCAACAAAATGCACATCTCAAGACTGCGATTATTGTGCCCGTCGCATTCGTAGTAGACTAGAGAGTGCATTGCCGCCGTCCACACCATTCAGAACGTGCAGTTTGTCGCATGATCGTCACACTCCACGATTAGAACTGCAGCTGGTGGATCACCAAACAAACAAAAAAACAAAAAAAAAAAAACCTCCGGCTTTCACACCTTGCCAGTCAAAATGTACGAGAACGAACACCAGCCATCAGAAAAGGGGGGAAAATATGCATTTTGTCCTCATTTTTGGGGGTGTCTGGCTCTGAATTTCTGTTGTGGTAGCAAACAGTCGCAATTATAGATGCGCATCAATCGCAATTTGGTCACGAATCACATGTTTTGGCGCCACCTGCTGAACAAACCAGAATCCTAGATCTTCTGCAATGGAGCACCATGCATTATTTCGAACATCCTGAAACACACTACTCCTAATTCACTAACTGTTAATATGATATGAGAGCTCAACCTGTGGTGGATATGAGAATCGTCAACAAATCAGCCACCGTAGCGACTTTTTAGCGACTCGGGAGGCTCCTCTTCCATGATTCCAGCTCCGGTAGTGGCCAAGTATTCCCTTATTGTAGTTTTCCGGTCACCAAGATAGGTGTGGTCTAAGAAGTTGCTGTATGCTGGTTCTCCAAGATTTTTCGCAGCAAGAACACTGAAAAAGCAATTAGAATCACAAAAATATCAAATAAGATCATATTGCTAAAAAGTAAAAACATATTGATAACATCATGCTTGTACACACTTAGTCGTTATGTAGAGAAAATGTGTTGATTTGGATAAATGCAATGATCAAAAAGCAATGATTTCCTATTGCTTCAGACATGCATCTTGCTTTCAGTTGTCAGAAAGCAATGATATCATTTTTCCATGAGAGATGAATATTGCTTTGAGATATCATAATGTCATAGATGTGCTATACAAGAGAGAACAGATAATAAATACTGTACCCTAAATTATTGGAGCGTGCACATGTAACTACACAGTAGGCTTATTCCAATTTGATCCCAAGTTAGACCCCTCTAATGTTAATTACTAACTTATCTATGAGATGAAAGAAGCAACCCCACATAATGTTTAACGTTATATATCTTTGAACATCAAATACTCACCAATGTCTGAGGTATAAGCGACATGGTAAAATATCATCTCTCCATATTTTGTCAATGTTGTACCGTCCATAGCGCTGATAATATATTTCCTTGCTTCCTGCAGAAGTAACCACTCAAAATTTCAACACGTAATTGACTACAAAATCAAATATGATTTGGTTTTATCTCAAGCAATTCTTTAGAAGTTAGCAACCTATGTCTACAATGCCTTAAAAGAACAACTTCCATCTACAGAAACATGTTTTGATTTGCCAGAAAAAAAAAGGTAGAGAAATGTTCAACATAAAGCCTTGTTAGTCATCATAAACTTATTTGAGCGGGATTCAAACATGTCTAGCTTAACTACAATCTAGTGTTAAAGGGGCCTGGATGAACTCAAGAACAGATTACCATTTCCTTTGAAGTATAAACAACTATTTCCTACCAAATCTGATGATCAACAATTGGAGTGATAGATTGACAGCACACAGATATGGACACAGAACAGTTTGAAAATAGTTGGAATGAAGTGAAGACATAAAATTAAACCTTGGCATCTCCCTTGGAAATATTCTTCATCGCTGTAGCGCGCGCAGACAACCTAACCACCAAATTCCACCAAGACGAAGAAAAATAACTCTGATTGCAGGAAGGAAGCAGCAGCAAAGAGCAAAAGCAAAACCACAGTTATGATTTCAAATGCAGAGTAGGAGTACTTACTGCTCGATTTGTAAAAGGTACCCCATCCAATCCTTCAGGGACAACCTGAAACACATTAAAACACAAACAAAAGTGGCAGCCAACATTTGTCAAAAACTAGTACAAATTATGGGTAAAGAATTTATTCACTTTACAAACTAAGCTAGATCGGCAAGCATGAAATGAATTAGTTGGTCACCCACCGCAAGAAATCTAAACTCATGTTCCCTCTCAATAAATGATGGCACCTGCAAATATCATGAACTTTCAGTCCTCGCCAAAAAGGAATTCAGGAACAGTCCATCAGTTTGCCCATGGCTGATTATTATGATATATCACTGAGAAAACCACATGACCTCTTCCTCCTTGATCTCGAAAACAGTGACTACTATCAGTTCACCGTCGCATGGCTCCACGCTCAAGCTTGAGAATTCCTACAAGTCACCCAATACTGGAATGAGAAAGGAGAACATTATGAAACCACAAGAAACCAGTAATGCGACTTTCTCAGGGAAGTACATTCGGTGCTCTACATTGCCAAACATAGTCCAATGTCAAACCATTGGATCTCAACAGCATATCAAAGTTTATTATTCTCCTGGATCAGGATAACAGACAGCAAAAGCAGTGATGCTGATGCTCATGTTACAGAGAAGCTCCTTAATGAGCACTAAAATCCATGCCCTCGTGCATGAACCAAGACGCACAAATGTAGCTAGTTATTTGAAATCCCAACCTTTTAGCTGTCCAGTGTTGTGGAACTAGTATTGCAATTTTTCATTATGTCAAGAAAACACATGTAAAAAACAAATAAACTGTAGGATGGTAATTTGTAGTATCATCCAAGTACCCCTAGTACTAAGTGCATATTTGCCTTATTGTCTGCACATTCAGGTGTGCGCGACAGGTGTGCTAGTTCATTGTATTGCTCTGCTAAAATAGATTATCTGAAATCCTCTACAAAAACTAACACATCTGGAAGAGTTAGTGAATCAGTGAAATCACACAGTCATGCAAAAGCTGCCATCACAAATGCAAAATTAGTGGAGTACACATCCCGAGTCATCGCCCTGATCAAAATCATATCCACCTTGCAGAATCACAGACACACGGAGAAACCTGCTGCTTAAACGATGACATGAGTAGAGAAATACTAGGCATGGGGACCTTGGTGGCCTCGATGGCGATGCCGCGCTCGAAGAAGATGGGTGCAGCGTGGGCGAAGACTCGGCGGAACCCCCGCAGCGCGGCGACCCGGAAGCCCTCCAGCTCCGGGAACGTGCTCCTCGCGCTCCGCTCTGCCACCAACCAGGAGGCTAGAAAGCGTCAGGCCTAGCAGGTTCAGGGCTCGAGGAATCCACTACCCGTGACAGCGATCTGCGTCCCGCTTACCGGAGAGGAGGGACCCGAAGCCGACGACGGAGAAGCGGCCGCCGGGGGCGGCGACGGCCGCAAAGTCCGCGGGGCAGGTGAGCTCGGGGAAGGAACCGCCGGCTTCGGGGGCGACCGTCGCAGTGGGAGGAGGCATGGGGCGGCTAAATCGGGTGCGCGGCGGCGAGGGCCCTGGCTCCGGTGGTCGGCGGAGGCGGAGACGGGCGGCGGTGACGGGGGCTGGTGGGAAAGTGACGTGTTCGGGGGCGTTGGATCTTGATCGGACGGCTGAGGGTGGCTCCGGGCGAGGAGGCGCGTGTGGGGAGGCGATGGCGCGCATTGTCCTTGGGCCAGTGACAGTGAGGCAGCAGCAGTCACCCAGCGAAGCATATGTGACTCGAGCGGTCGAGCCGACGAGCCTGCACTTCCTGTCAAGCCGATGAAGTAAAACCAACGGCTTTTGAGAACCGAGCAGATCTCGGATGGCTGGCTCAGCCGGTGGGCAGGCAGCCGGCGCGAGTTCGATTCTCCGGAATCGCACTCGCGTCTCTCAGCAGGGTTCGTCCCAAATAGGACGCGATCCAGTGATCTAGGTTTGCTTTGTGTAAGTGTGTTATGCATGTGTAGGGTTAGTGCGTGTCTATAGATGAACAGATACTACAGTTGTATTCAGATGAGAGGCAAAAAAAAAACCAACGGCTTTTTTTAGAAATAGGCCAAGTCATCGAGTGAATAGCATGTCGTGTTTGGTTTGAAGAATAGCGCTCTGTTCGCTTGAACTTATCAACCATGCTTATCGATGATGATATAGTGTTTTTTCTCACAACAAAACAGTATCAGACAGCTTATCAGCCGCTGAAACGATCAAGCGAACAGGGTGTAGGTTAGTAGTCCATCGTCTTCTTAATTTTTTATTTTTCTTTTGTTTATAACTTTAGATTGTAGAATAGAATAGATTGATGCATCATCATCTAATTTCTCACAAACTAATAATTATAGTATTTTTTTCAAACCAAACATACTATGATAGCTGAAAATATGCTCCTTGACGCGCCGTTCCTTGCCATCATCTTTTTTCGGGTAATGACATATGCACGATTTCAAAGCTGGCATTCCCTAACCAAAACCATCTACCACTAACTGCACACCATATGGTTGCGCCTGTGTTCGTGTACATACCCGTGTAGTGTAGTTGGCGGTCAACTCTAGGTTCTTATATATGGCGGTTGAAATTTGAGAGATGCGAGAGGATTAAGGGTGGATAAGGAAGGCAAATGCATACAACACCGATACACACATGTATAATTGAGGGGCTAAAGAAGATCGTTGATAGGTTGACGGGAATGGCAATTTGGTGGGTCCAGGAAAGACTTGATGGAGTATTGTGGGGTGCTGGGTTAGACCTTCCCCTTCGATCTTAGGAGATCCGGAAGGTCAAGGGAGAGAGGAAAACTCGGCAAGATACAATAAGGTAGTCAAATTATTGTAGAGATGGAAAGTGAAACACTAGATCCATCCTATTGTATATTAAAGAGTGAGCTTGGCCCTACAATGGATGGATCCATGCATAGTACATCATGGAGTCTTAATGCAAAAAATTGTGATGTACTTTCGACGCATCTAAGCTCCAATTTTAGTTCCAGGGTTTTGGCGATTGATAAACACAAGTGTTTTGTGACTAACTTGTGTCGTGTAGCGGCTATAATCGTGGCCACATAATTTTTTCCCCACAAGTGACGTGAATGGGAGTGCCCCATCTACTTTAGGTAATAATAACTATCAATTTGTTGGAGGCTTGACACACACGATCTAGCTTTCAATTATAATCATTCGAACCCACAATCATCGCAACATCACGTCTCCTCTAGTTCCCTTATGTGTGCCCAGGTTTTGCTGAGAACAACTTACCCACCACTTGTACCACCTTACCTCCATCTCCCATTGACGTCTTCCAAGCACCTTTAACCCCGCACTTCTCTTCCTATGATAGCTTGAGGCCCTCCATGAGCCCCTCGAGTTCCTCCCCGTCCGCCACCTCCCTTTGAACACTCCATCAGAGCCATCGTTTCCACTAGAAAGAACAAAGAGGAGAAGGAAAGAGCAAGCCGATCCAAGTGTCGGACAGACTGAAGAGGCTAGCAGTTTTTGTGGATGAGACTGGATTTGAGTGTATTCAGACGGATTTAGGATTGATTTTGATGAAGAAACTAGTCCGAAACCCTAGGGCTCTAGGGGGGGGGGGGTTAGGACCTCCTGTGAGTCGCTAGACAGACTTCTCACTTGGCTCCAGAGACTTCGGCAGACAGACGTTATTGGGGATTTGTGGCACACTATGAGTATAGATATACCATCGAGTTGATTATGGATCTAAGCCTCTTTAGTTTTTTCTAGAAGAACTACATGGGCCATTAGTAGGTTGCCCCGGTCCATTACAAGAGAGAGGAGACCCCGGAGAGAGCCGCATCTAGAGATGGCAACGGAGACCCAGTCTCGGCTGACGATTTCATCTATTAAAAACAGGAATGATATGTTTTTATGCCCCATAAAGATACTAAGGTCAGTCTCGAATCGAAATGTAGAATGAAATGTGAGTATGATTTTTTACATAATGACAAATGTGAGTATGTAGTCCTTTTTTTAAAACTTGTATGTAACTTTTGTACCGAGTTTACAACAGTGACCTTTTTTTGCAGTCTAGATGGTGTTGATCTAGTATGCAGCTAGCTTTAGCCGCAGTACATAAGTTCCAGTTCTACTTCGTCCGTATTTTATAATGAGTCTAGTCTATAATAATTCATGTATACTTGGACAAAAAGTGAAACTTAAATCATAGCATGGTTGAATCAAAATCCAGCAAGGAGCGCGAGAAATCAGAAGAAATAATCTCGATATCTCGATCTATATACCCACTGAGCACCTACTTGAAAATAATTTCATCCATACCACTGGCGCATGGTTAGGCTAGCTAATCCAACAGAATAGGTACTAAGGCTCTGGATCCATTAGTTACTAGTAGTTAGCTAGTTAATAGACCATAACTAATATTAGCTGGTATTAACTAATTTTGTTCAGCTAGTGAAATAGTTGTTAGTTTAGTATCATGTAACAATTAGCTAGACCTGTTTGGATCAAAGAGCTATATATAGCAGCTAACTATTATTTCCTTGATTAAAAAAGGGCCTAATACTTTTGGACAAACACTCTAAAAAACACTGTTGGACAAACAAAAAAAATCAGAGTTGGCGCCTGGCACATATTTTTCAGTTGTCATACCATGATCATACAATGGGCGGATCTATATACAAGCTAGGGCCAGGGTGCGGGTGCACCCACGCACCATATACGCACCCATATCATAAAAATCTATGCACCCATAATGCCAACGCACCCCTGTCAAAATTTATCTAGCTCCGGCCCTATACATGCTACACATCGGGGGCATGGGTCCACCTCTCAGTTTCTCTCACTCCTCACATGTGGATATACATGTGGTGGTGCACGCACATCCATGGGGGTATGGAAATGGAACGAGATGGGATCAACCCCAAGAAGTGGTGCTTCTTCTCGTCGCCGGCCCTTCTTCTCCTCATGGTGCTCGTGGAAGGCGCCGGAGCCTGCTGCCGTGATCTCCTCCATCTCGTGGCGGTGCGTGTACTCCAGGTCCTTCGCCTCGTCTTCTCGTACTAAAATTGCCCACATCATGAGATGATCATCATATTTATCAGTTGGTTTGATTCGTTCATGTATAATAGGACACTTTTATATATATACACTGGTTTATAGCAGCATTTTTGACAATTATTGTGGACACTACGATTCATACATTGGTCTGACTCAAATTATGCATACTTTATACTCCCCGTCCACAAAAAAAATGCAATTCTCGTTTGAGAAGTCAAACGATTTGAAGCTTGACCAAATTTATGTAAAAATATATTAACATTTATGATACAAAATAAGTATCATTCATTTGATTATGAAATATATTTTCATAATAAATCTAGTTAGAGACAAATGCTAATACTATTCACTATAAATTTGATTAAAGTTAAACTAGTTTGACCTGCATGCAACTCATAGTGTGGGGAGCGGTTTCAGCGGCCTCTATACTATCCTAGAGGGGCACAGATAATGAACGTTTATTATCGAACTTTCAATGAAAAACAACGGGTGACAATATCTTATATTGCCAAATGCTTCTCTCGTTTATGTTGCAAATGGGCCCTAACTCCGTATTTGGAAACGAGGTCCAGGCCCAGCTGCAAACGTGAGTGAGCAAAGCCTACGAGTAGAAGGGAGGGGGACATCTTTTAGGCGGGAAACGACATCCTATTTCCCGTCATTCTCCTACCATCTCTTTTCCCTCTCTACCCCTACGAACAAGGCGCCACCACTTGTCGTTCCCTCCGTAGCCTCCCGCTGCGCAGCCCGCAGCCCCTCAGCCGCCGTTCATCCCTGCCACCCCCTCCCTCCCTGCGACGACTGGTCGACCGTCGCTGCCGCCCTACGCGAGGGCCACCCCCTTTCTCTCAGCGACGACTCTTGGCGACCATCGCTACCAGGTGGCCAGGTCTTCTTTGGGCTCTTCGCCGGCAACAAGCACCACCAGGTACACCCACTCTCCTTGGTCTTCCCTTCCTGCTGTGCGTAAGAGCACCCAAACCCTAACTTACTGATTGTGTTCGAATCTGATCCGCGCCAACTCCACCCCGTCTTCAACCCGATCTCTCCATTTTTATTTTCTAAAAAAAATCCCACCAGTAGAAGCCCTTCAATTTCCCAACGTTTCGCCCCCTACAAATTCAGTCCATCCTTTGTTGTGATGTTCCTTTGTTTCGTTTGGTATAGACAGTTTTTGATCTGAGGATGGGTAGGGACGATGAGCAGCAGTGGCGGATGTATTATCATAATATTGGGTGTGCAAAACATTTTTCCCTTTTATTTTATTTATAATCATATCTAACTCGTTATAAACAAACTTTTAACATGTACACTTATAAACTTCAAAATAACTACGAAGTATTTTCAAACTAAATATGCGATGACTACTTTCATAACTTTTGATAACTCACTTGGTGACTTGGTACGTATGGAATGAACACAAGTCTATATATGTATTTATAGCTTTATGGTGGCAACCTTCTACACTTTTCTATATGTTAGAAGATCTCTCATATTTATCTATTCCCATATATTTCTCATTACATAAAATATCAAGATCTAGAGTGTTCCTTGTAGAATATTGTTTGCCTAGATATTTCTCATGCAAAATATCTAGACATAGAGTATTATATTGTCTAAAGTACGATAATTACTCCAATTTATTTGGAAGGTTTCTCATGTAGAAGTTTCCTATTCCATAAGATACTAGGAAGGCAAATGTGTCACACCCCCTAACATTTTTTCTATACTATGATCATATTTTTTCCTCTTAATAAAATATTGCTTTTTCTACTCTAGATGTTGTTTCTAACCCAAAAATATATTTTACTACAAAGGGGTAAGTAAAAAAATGTTCTACCTATAGAAAAAAAAACCATTTGTTCCATAAAGGACAACTAGTGTCATGTAAGAGTGGCAACATTCCTAATTTATTAATTATGCAGTATTGTTATTTGTACAATACTTTTTTCGAATGCATAATTGTTTTTATGGTTAAACTATTTCTATTCCTATCTGTAAGTGCATCTAGCCCTTTAGTGGGTTTTGGTGAATTGAATGACAACACCATTAAATGTATAACAAGTTTGTTAAGTGTTGAAAAGAAATTGAGTTTATTGCATACACTTGTAGATTGTGGAATGAGAAGTGTATACAGGTTCAATAAGAAGACAAACTTGATAATATTCCACATAATGTTCAAATTAAGGCTAAAGTTGTATATTGTTGTATTGGAAGATCATAAAAACAATCTACTTCAAGCAAAAGACAACAATAAAAATGGAATCAATGAGATGACTTCTATGTTGTGGGATATCATAGCATTATGCGAAAGCAAGCATATTTGGCAAATGGCAAATGGGACATGGGTTGATGATTTTGGATTGGTCTTTATAGTGGCTTGCTTTGCATGAACAAAAAGAATTTGATAGTGGATTAGCTTTAATTAAGGATTGAAGAATGAGTCAAGAATGCATAAGTGAAAAAATACTAAGCAAAGGTTTAAATGACAAAGGACACAACTCATATTGGATATAAGTCGGTCTCTATGTTGGTTTGCTTGTATGGATAAAGATTTGAAAAATCACTTTGCATTAATATGATCAAGGTAGAAATATGAAGATAGAGAATTGATGTGAGTGTCAGGAGTGTCAAGCCAAAATGAAGAAGATTTAAGGAATCGTGAATTGGTTTGACCATATTGATGTTGATTCATATATCTCAATCTATGTGAATCCAACTAAAGCTTGATTGATCTCAACATTTATATCTAGAAGATATTCAAGCAAGGATCACAATATTAAAAAATGATTTTTTCAATAGATGCTTAATATGATGTGACTTGAGCATGGCTTGATAAGGTGAAGATAGCAAGAAAAGGGCTTCGAGGGACTAAGCGAAGGTGAAGGGCAAGCGACGGCTTGAGAACCGAGGTACCATGGCTAAGGTGAAGAAGAGAGTACTTGCATTGAGTCGAGGAACCAATTAAGCTATGAGAAGTCATATTATGTTGAGGATCAAATAATTAATGGAAATGACTTGAAGCCATGAGGTGAACTCATATGTATGGAAATGGTTCAAGTCACATGCTCAAGGTATAATGGGAAAGAGGACAATACATTCGATGGTGGAGCCCCAATTATAAAAGGATGCGGTGATTAACTCAAAGGTGTTTAAATTCTTTGATATTTTGAATTTGAGTTTAGGAAAACCGTACTATAAAGAAGGATACAATGCACATACTTTAATGTGTAATCAAGTGCTCATTTACCCACCAAATATCCTTAAAGCCTCAGCCAAGACAGCCATGCTTTCACTTTGCCACCTTTGCTGTCCTGGGCAGTGCGGCAGTGCCACACCCAGAGAGCGGCAGTGCCGCTGTTCTGCAGTGCCATAGTTAAGTTGCGGTAGTGCCGCACTTAACTGACCGTTGGGAGCACAGGGGTATTTATACCTTCTCTTCTCCCTCCAACGGTAACCGTTTTTCAGATCGACCATTCCCACTCCCAATGCGACCAGAGCTCTCTCTTGCTTCTCTCTCTCCATTGGAAGGATCCCAAGCTTCTCCTCTTGATTTCCAATCAAATCCTTGTGATATTAAGCCTCCAAACTGTATTAGAGAGCAGCCCCAACTGTTCTTCAACTACCAAAGCACTTGGATCGCGTTTTAGCCGGTGGATTGTATTTGTTACTCTTGGAGCTTTGCTCCTAGTCGGCTAGGCGTCGCTCGAAAGCTTCCGATCGATTGTGGCACCTTCGGGACGTTTGTGATCACCCTCTATAGCTAGTAAGAACCCCTCATATCAAAAGACTTGCTCTCTTGACTTGAGAACGAGGATAAGGTTGAAAGAGACCAAAGCCTTGGTGGCTTCCTCAATAACGTGGACATAGGCAAGCCTTAGTGACGAGCTAAATCATGGGATAAACACCTTGTCTCTCTTGTGTTCTTGCTTTGTCTTGTGCTATACTTGTTTGTTGGTGATTGTAGGGTTTGGTCTCGATCTACTTGTGCATAAGCTTCCGCTAACATCCAGGAGGTGAAACAAGCTCTACTCTACCCCAGAAAGCTTAGTAATTTATCCGATCTAAATTTCCTTGGATAGATTTTGAATTGTACACTCGATCTTGCCTGCAGGTGCGGCAGTACCGCTGTTTGTGTGAGGCAGTGCTGCAGTGAGGCAGTGTTGCTCCTCTGGAGCGGCAGTGCCGCACGTGGAATTTAACTTATGCTTGAGTTTATTTTAAACAGGCCTATTCACCCCCCTCTTATCCTTTCACTATCCTGTCATGTCAAGCCTTCTTTTGCTCTTGCCTCATAACGATGTATATCTTTTCAGCTTGTATACCTTTGTTTTCGGTTGGAGCTTTTCTATGGACTTGCCTCTACTGTCTTTGTGCCTTGCGGATAATAAACACTCGCTTAGCCAGATTTGTTTAAGGTTGATAAAGTGCGACAATTCTAACACACGAAAGTATTTTGCAACCTAATCTTTAACCCTGTTACAACATAAAAATCCTCAGAGAGAGTGCTAGGAAGACTCAAATTGTTCACGAGATATATTGAACTGCCAATACTCTGTATTAGTTCTTGTTAGAGCATGAAATTTTTTTAATTAGTTCATACCATTTTTTTATTGATGATAGCAGTGTTCCTAGTTCATGGGAACTATTGTTTCATGTTTAGCAGCACAAAAATATTTAATATTCACTTGGGAAATTGTCACAAAAAAATTATTTTTATTTTAGAAAAATGTTGTTATCGCTTGTTGATTTGTGAAATTGGTATATGTTCCTGTGAAAATGGCTTCTAGCTTCAATAGAAAAATATTCAACCTTAATAAAATATAAAAGTTCCATTTACTTATTTACAATGTACTATATATTTACTAGCCACTGATAGTGTCCAATGAAGAGAATAGATATGAAATTTCTGTTATGTTATTTAAAACAAATGTTTTACTAGCCATTGATAGTGTCCAATGAAGAGAATAGACATATGAAATCAACAAGAATAAAAAATCGAAAGGGAGAGAAAGAAAAATAAAAAAACACAAATTTTCAAAGAAACTGAAAAACGGCCCACAAGAAGCCCGTGCGTTTTTTTCGCCGTCTGCTTCCCCTTCCGTCCGCTGCCCTCCTCCTCCTTCCCTCCTCTTCCTGTCTCTCTCTCTCTCGCTCTCGCTCCCAGACGACTGTTGTGCCGCCGCCGCCCTTGGCCAGGTGCTGAGGCTTTCCTTGGTCTCTTCGCCGGCGACGAGCACCCACCAGGTACTCCCACCCCTTCTCTTCCCTTCCCTTATGCTGTGCGAAGCTGAGCACCGAAACCCTAACCTAAAGCTATTTAGCTATTTGACAATCCTCCTAACTTCGAAGTTTTTGCAAAAATTATTCGGTGTACATGTGTATACCCATGTCCCTTTACTGGATCCGCCCCTGATGAGCAGGTTGACTCTATGGAGATTGACGACCAGAAGCAGCAACAGCTAGAAGCCCCCGCTGCCGTGCCAGAAGGGTTCAACACTGACTATCTCCGTGTCTACTACGGTAAACTGATTCCCCCTTATAATGCATGGAACGGACAAGTAAAATGAAACAGGATCCATACCATCTTGTCGGTCCATAACCATCTATTTTCTATCTTCATTTATCATTGATTCTGCACATAGTTGTGATGTTGCATCACAGATTAGGGGGTCTTTGTTGTTTCGATTAATTCTGTGGTTGCTTTTGTTGTATGTGAATTGTGATGGAGACATCTAACAGATGAGGAAGCAACTGGCTAGCATTTGCTTGCTGGAATAGTTCCCTTCTCCTCCCAATTGCTTGACAACTTTAGTATATCTTGTTTTCATACTCTTTTTTTTTTTCTCAAGACCTTGCACATTTTGTTATTCATCTGGTGTAACTAGGCATGCTCTCACCTGACTGAGGCTTTGCATTTAAGAACCCGCTCGACTATGTAAGGGATACTACAGTGTCTTTGATTTCCTGCTGCTTGTGCTAACAACCAGGGTTATGATCGCAGGAAAGCTCTTCCCATATGGTGATTTCTTCAAATGGCTTTGCTATGGAAATGGTTTGTGCTCACATCCTGGTTCTTTGGTTAGGAGTTAGCCTTGCACTCGTGCTGTGTCTTGATTTACCAAATTTTGTTTTCTATAGATGGAAAGCACCCCGGATGTGATCAGTCATATGTTGGACGTCGAGAGTTTTCATTTACACTGGAGAATGACATCTACTTGCGCTTCCAATCCTTTGATAGTGCTGCTGAATTGGAGAGTTCTATCAAGGAGAAGTGCCCATTCAAGATTGATATTGGACCTGTCTACAGCGTAGATGTATGATGCAGCATCGCTAAACACATAAATTTCTTTTTGAGTTTGATTCTAATTTTCTGCATTATACTCTTTTCGCAAGTTCTCAGCTACCTGATGCATCTTTGTTTTTCTGTAGCCTTCAAAGCGTCATGCTTACGCCCAATCTGGCAATAATGTCTTTGTACCAGTGGAGAGAGAACTAATTTTTGACATTGTAAGATAAGAAACTTGCATTATCTTTTTCATTCTATTTTCCTTTTATATTTTGCTCTGTAGTTTTGTGCAACAGTTGCAAGCTGTCAACATTTTTATTCTTCCCAGGATATATCTGATTATGATGATGTTCGCTACTGCTGCTCTGGAGCTGATGTCTGCTCAGACTGCTGGCCCTTAATGACAATTGCTATCAAAATTTTGGATACTTCTCTTAGAGGTATGTCATTTGATTATGCAATACATCAACTACCCACTTTTTCAAATTTATCCACGCGAACTACAGATTTGCAGTGCTTATTATAATTGAAATCATTGTTTGCAGATGATTTTGGTTTCAGTCACATACTATGGGTATACAGTGGCCGTCGTGGTGTCCATTGCTGGGTCTGTGATAGCAGAGCAAGAAAGTATGTTCGAATTTACTTTATCTGTTTCCTATGCCTGTTGATCCTAAAACACATGTTCTCGTGTTAGGCTAAGCAATGAACAAAGGGCTGCAATTGCTGACTACTTTCGAGTCTACAAGGTGACACACTTCATCATGCATTACTTTTGACGCCGTTTCTTGCCCTCCTTCAGAAATCTATTTAACCCTATGAATCTATCTCAGGGTGGTGAAAATGCACTGAAGAAAATATCCTTGGCTGGACCTGTCCTCCATCCCTTCCTTGCGTATGTATTAACTGTCACGTCATTTTGTTTGATCTACCAACGAAAATTGGAAGAGCTAGATTGATTATTATGTAATTTATGCTCCTGCAGCCGGTCATACATGGATGTTCTCAAAACCTTCTTTGAAGATAGGTTGCTCCTTAGCCAACAACTCTTTTCATCAGAGGAGAGATGTCAGAAGATACTTGATCTCATCCCTGATGAAAGTAAGAAAAGGCACCATGAGAAATGAATGTTACTCTCTGACATACTCCCTCCATTTCAAATTATAAGATGTTTTGGCTTTTTTAGATACATTGCTTTTGCTATGTATGTAGACGTACTGTATATCTAAGTTCATGACAAAAAATATGTATCTAGAAAAGCCAAAACATCTTATAATTTAGAATGGAGGGAGTAGATGAAATCTACTATCCCTTGTTTAGCATGCCATAGATCTGTTCACCATCATTCTGAATTGGATTTGATTTCTAGATGTTGCTAGTGAGGTCCATGACAAGTGGCAGGGAAATAGACGATCTTCTATTTCAAAGGAAGATGTCAATGTGACCAGATGGGAGCAATTGAAGACGACTTTACAGTCAGGAAAACACAAGGTTCATGTTTGATCTCCTACTTACTTTTTTTTTCTGTGTTTTATCCCCTAGTTCCTATTTACTTTTGTTCGGACATTTGTCTGTTTATCGATCAATGTTTATTTCTTTTGGTTACACCAGATCGTGTATAATATTCCAAGTTCTCAGTTACGATCATATCTGCTAATTCATCTGATTATGTTACATAATAGCTCTAATTGTTCTCTGTTTCAGGCTCAGGGGCTTCGTAGATGTGTGGAAGAGATTGTCTTCTCATACACATATCCTAGACTTGACATGGAGGTAAAAGAAAATTCATCAGTTGTCTGTGTTTGCACTGGTAATAATGTACTAATGTTCAAGGTTGCTCTCGCTCCTAATCAACTTTATACCCATGCCAGGTATCAAAGCACATGAATCATTTACTAAAAGCTCCCTTTTGTATACATCCAAAGACAGGTAAAAGTCATAATGCATTCAATTCCTGTATTAGTTTGTAATGTGATAATAAGGTGGCATGCTCTTATGCTCAAGAGAGAGGCTTTGTATACGCATGCATGTCCTTTTGAAACCTCTAGATTCCAGAACAGATGCATTCACTCAAATACCTTCGCTATTTTTCATTTAGTTTATTCTAACAACTGCAGGAATAATGTTTGTCACACAATGCACCCTATTGCTGACAATTGACTGTTGTTTATTTTTCTAGGTCGTGTTTGTGTTCCAATTGATCCCAGTAACTGTGATGATTTTGATCCTGCAGCTGTTCCGACTCTATCACAGGTATGGTCCATAGAGCCTAGCATGAGAAACACTAACATTTCATATCCTTCTGCCAAGCATCATGGTGCAATGCTGATTTGCTAAAACAAGTACACTTATACAGCTTTTAGGAGAGCTCAATGCTACTGGTTTTCAGACAGATTCCGAAAATAGTAAGTGATTAGAACCATGCTTCTTTTGTGATTTGTGTAAAAACTTATTATTTGTAATTGCAAAAAAAAAAAAACATTCTAGTACCAACATGCAGCCTTGCCTAACAGGCTAATATGCCCTCTTTTTTATCCTATTGAGTTTCAGATTTGGAAAGAACGTCCCTTGGGAAATCCATCAGTTTTTTCAGAACTTCCTTTCTGCACCCATTGCTGAAAGCGTGCAAGGTATGGACTCTGTCCTATTTCATTTCTGTGCCAATGCCGGCATCCACATGCATATATGTGAATAATTGAAACACCGCAAAATATCTTTGGTAGCAGAAACTTAGACACTATATGATTCTCTTCATCCCCCAGCTCCCACCCAAAGAAAAAAAAAGATGCTCGCTTACTTTCCGTTAATCGAGCATTCTGTGACTAGGAACTAAAAAAAGTTAGGATGCTCGCTTACTTTCCGTTAATCGAGCATTCTTTTACTAGGAATTAACTCTATCTCATGGTTCTGACATTTCCTGAGGCATAAGTCCGAGTCTTTCTCTGGCATGTAATTTTGCAGGAGGAACTGGAAAGTGCATATAATGCAAAGCTTCAACAGTCCAAGAATTCCTTGAACTGGTAAAAATCTAGGCATGTTTCTGCCTCTATTATCAGCCCCCGTCCGGCCGCCCCTGAGCATTCCAACTGTGGCATGGACCTGGTGCTATAGGTGGATTATCTATGTGACGCTGCCAACCTGTGTTGCATGCCTGGGACTGGGATGCATGCTACCACGTCAGTTTGAAGTTTTATCTACGAATGTGACCTGTTCCGGTTCAGGAATTGCTATCGTTAGGTTTCAGTTACTCCCAAGGGGAAATGAATGTAACACTTGGTGGCCGACGGTGGCAAGATAATCATGCTACCATGTCAGTTAGGTATCGTTTGGTTAGGAGTCGAGATGGAGTGGGACGGTTCCATCTCTTTTTTCTGGGATGGGACGACTCCATTTTCCGTTTGGTTAAGGGATGGAATGGACCCATTTTATGTTTGGTTTGGAGACATGAAAAGTGGGATCATATGCCTGACAGGTGGGCCCCATGTGCCAGTCTCTTCTCATGCTTTTTCTTCTACCATTGACACACAGGGACCCATTTTTCAGTTTTTTTTTTTTTCAATTTCTTTTTCCTCCCCTTATCCCTTCGTTGTCAACCACATCTCCATGGTCGTCAGGTCGTGCCTCCGCCGGAGCTAGGGGCACTGCTTGCCCACCGGAGTTGGGAGTGCTGCTCGCCTGCCGGGGCTGGGGGCGTTAGTCGCCTGCTGGAGCTAGGGGCGCTACTCGCTCGCTGGCGTGGGGTGCGCAGTTGGGAGTGATGCTCGCTCGTTGGCGCCCGCCGGAGTTAGGGGCGGAGCTAGGGGCGCTGCTTGCCTGGGCGCACCTGCTCTTCGCCCAGCCGCGCTCTTCCGCCTGGCCGCGCGCCGGAGCAGGGCCCAGAGCTCATTGGCCTGGCCGCGTGCCGGAGCCGGGGCTGGAGCTCTCCTGCCCCACCGTGTGCCGGAGCCGATGGCGGAGCTCGCCTGCCGACGTGCGCCACCGCTCGCCATCTCGCGCTCGTATTGCGTGCGCCCGCCCACCCGTGAAGGTCGTCCTAGGTGGGATGGACTCTGTCCACTGAAAAATGAGGGACGAGAGTCACGGCATCTAGCGAGAATATTCGTTGGGATGGTCCTATCTCCAGTTCGCCCCTGGACCAAACAGCAGCGAAAGTGGGATCATCCCACACCATCCCACCAACCAAACACCACCAACCAAACACCACCTTAAGTTGCATCTACGAATGTGACCAGGGGTAAACCTGTACTGGTGCTGGAATTGCTGCCATTAGGTTTCAGTTTTGGGCACTGCTCCAATGCTCCTCTTTTTAAAAAAAGTACACAGATCTCAAAGCAACCCATCATCTTTTTAATTATTTTTTCTTAATTATTTTCCTCTTGGGTCCCCAATGGGTCCGGCCCATCCAACCCAGCCCAATTTCAGCACGACCCAATCTCTCTAGATCCCGTTTGTTCGTAGGCTGGTTCGTTGAACGGCGCCGCCCATTCCCGAGGAGCCGTAGCCGGCGGGCTGACGAACCAAGAAACAGCAGCCGGTAGACCAAGCGGACTTGCAGCGCCTCCTCTTTCTCTTCCGATCTCATTGGCCGGCGAGCGTAATCTCAATTCTCAATTGAATCATGAGAATCGTCCTGTTCGTTTGGCTTATAAGCCGTAAATTTTTCAATCAACGAGTAATATTTTTCTCTCACGATAAATCAGCCAATAGTACTTTCAGTCATGGCCTATCAGCCAACCAAGTCCCAAGTACATGCTTTGGGGTGTTTTTACCTTTAAGATTAGTTTATTTATCTGGTTGAAGGGTTACAGTGACGGTCAAACACTCAAATGGATGGAGACAAGATTTAGGTCATTTCATGCAAGTTCGTTGCTCAGCAGATACTGATTGGGCTGCTTGGAACCCCGACCAGGTATTGCCTCACCTTGCTTACTGCGCTCGCACGCTCAACAAGAAGTTTGCCCTCGCACACTCAATGAGAAGCTTGACCGGATGAGCAAAGCACTTGCTCAGCGAGGCGATGGAACCAAACAGCATCTCAAGCCACCTTTTGCATGCAACTCTCGCTCGGTTTTGAACTAAGGCCCTTGGTTCCAAGCTCCGGAGCTAAAATTTTTAGGAGCTTTTATGAGGCTGCTAAAATTTCTTAAAAGAGTGTTTGGTTCCATTTCCTAAAACTGACTAAAAGCAATAAATGCACTAGCAAATAGATCATGCTACCTTTCTCTAGGAGAGAGAGAGGAGGCAGGGCAATAAAGGAGGGGTAGTGGGGGTTCAGTATGAACTTTAGGAGCTTTTAGGAGGGGGTGGAGCTCCTAAAGTTTTTGGCCCCTCCTAAAGTTTTTAGAAGCTTTTAGAGGAGGTGTTTGGTTCTTTAGGCAAACTCTATCCAGGTTTTAGCTCTTAAAACTTTTAGGAGGGGTAACCAAACAGGACCTAAGGCAAGTTTCGATGTGAGTTTCATTAGCATTAAATAGGTTGACACATACTTCCTCCATACTTAAAAATAAAGTCGTTTTAGGGGCTGAGATAGTTTTCACATATGAAGTTGTTTTGTATGTATCCAGATCGTTTTGGACGAGATTGTTATGAAACGGTGCCTTCCAACAGACACCTATTCATCGGTGATCTCATCCAATTAGATGTGCAGTTAGGATTAAGATTAGCATAGCAGTTAATCCCATCACCAAGGGGCCTGTCCTTTGGTGATCGGTTGTCTCTTGGAGACACCCCCTCAAATATATATAATCCCCTTTACAGATCAATGAAAAGTAGTTCCCAAATCATTGTTCATTTTCATTCACTTTTAACACGTTATCAGCACCATTGCTCTTCTGGACAAGCGAAAGAGAATGACAACGATAGAGGCACATGCCCCTGAACCCCCATCGGTAAGCATGGCAAGGATCGACTTACCGTCACATGTTGTTCGTCAACTGTTCTTCGCCCTTCGTCGCGTCGGTGGAGTTCGCCGTGGCCCGATCCGCCACCACGGCCACCATGGACAACGCCGCAGCGTCTTCGAGCGCCTTGGGCCTCGTGTTCGCTGCAATATTGCCCATGGTCATGGCCATGGTCCTTTCGGCCGCCTCTTCGACTCCGCTGTTCGTGGCTTCCGTTCCAATGTAGTTCCTCGCCACCGATGGACTCCTGTTCGTGGTTGCCATGCTTCTCCTCCGCGCGGTCTTCGTCTGCAGAGCCAGCCACCATCTCCTCGCCTTGGCTTGGACGGTGCCGGCCCCAGCAACGTTGCGCCTCTAGTGGTTGAAGCCCCGGCGCCACCAGTCGAAGAAGTCCCGACGCCACCAGTCGTTGAAGCCCCGGCGCCGCCCGTTGATGAAGTGGTTGCCGAACCCGTCGCTATACCCGTGTACGTCCCCATGGAGCTGATGTCGCCAGCATCGGCACCGCCTCGCTACTGGCGTGACTTTTGCAAGGAGTACACGCTGATGCCACACACGCTGGAGTACAACTACACACTGCCATCGCCCACACCGGTCGATCCGACTCAAGTGGCGGCTGATAGTGGCATGCCCGGCGGCGTCCTCAATCCTTGGATCTTCAACATCGTCGCCGCGCCGATGCTCCAGCAAGTGAAGACCGAGGACGAGGACATGGTGGCTGCCCCCGGCGTCGGCAACTTCTTCAACCCCGGCGGCATGCACATGGCCAGGACCGGCGTCCCGCCGTACAACTTCCTCGATGCGGTCGGCCCCTTGACTCCTCCTCCGAAGGCGACCCCGACACCAGCTTTTCCGCCCGCGACTCGTGCGGAAGCCCCTGCCCGCATGAAGGCGAAGGCCCTCCCGGGTCCTCCGGCCGAGACGCTGCCGACCCCGACGCTCCAGCGCCTCCTTGGCCGTAGGACGACGGCAGTGGACAGGCGCCCCGGCCTCCGTCGCCCCGGCCTCCGTCGCACCGACGCCTGGAATCCGGCAGATCTCGGGCTCCCAAGCGCGGAGGTGCTGAACATGGCCGTCGGTGGCAGTGGCCTCTACTCCCCCGACGAGGGGAGTCTTCCTCGACCTGAAGATGGCGAGCACGGGCGGCGCAGTGGAGAGGAGCGGCGAGGAGACTACCAGCAGCGGCGGCGTGCAGTTAGGGGCTCAAACCCTAACTGCCGACCGAACCCCCTTTTATGGGCTGCGTGCTGTGGCAGAACCGCCTAATCTAATGCCTCTCGGGAGTGCTCACCTTCCATTAGACACTAAGCACTCGAAGGAGGACACCAAATTACTCGGTCCCGTCGGGCACACCCCAGGGGAGAACCCGAAAATCTACATTTTTACATTAGGATCACAAATGAGAGAATAAAGCTTACATCATTCTTAACCATTTCTTACATCACTTTTAGTACCACATCAGAGTATAATATTTATTATTATAACAGCGGAATGTAATCATATTATTAGAGTTATGGATAATTTAATGTAACAGCGGAATATAAACATGTGATCAGAATTACAGTGGAAATAAATAGATATTCATGGCATGAAGAAGCATTAGTATATAAGCTATGACAACAGATTATAAAGCTTTCATTTATAAAAACATTTGGTGAGAGTTATAAATAAAAACTATGATCGCAGCGCAAAGAAAATCCTCTCTGAGCCCACCAGGAGGAATCCACACACAAGAGTCAGCTCTAGCATCCACCTGTCACCTGCAACAGCGGGAATAAAACCCTGAGAACTCAATTGTATTCAGCAAGACTTACCCGACAGGAGAAAAGAAAAGACTCCAAGGATATGCAAGGCTATTTGGCTGGCGGGTTTATTGCATCAACATGAAGCATTACTAAATATGTGTCCTTATATTCGATTTTTATTAATAGTCGCATTGGTTCGTTACTAAACATTCTATGTAAGCACCTATGCTACTTTCAAGCAGGTGGTAAGCAATCAGATTTCCTTTTTCTATCTTCCATCTTTCATTTTCAGTTCTTACTACGATGCTAAACCGTAGACAAGTCGTACCGGATCGTCCGGCGATTCGCGAATCAATGCCCCCAGCTGGGTACCCCGAAAACACACGCCCCGCTTGTACCGAAGGCACAAGCAGGACCAACCCATCACCCTCCTGTCCTGGGTTCCTAGGTCCTCGTCCAAACTGGGACTCCAAGCCCCCGCCCCTGAGTCTCGGACTCAGTGCGGTGCAAGGACCTTCTCCACCAAAAAGAAACCCTAACAGTCGGTCCAGAAAGAGCCGGAACCCACGACAAGAGAGCAACAAGTCTTCCAAGCGCCCATACCCAAGTATGTGCTCGGGATAATAAGTCTGTAACTTGCCTCGAGTCTTACGCAACGGCCGGTCCTTAACCGACCAGACAGGGAAAGCAGTGTAACCAGGCCATGTCCCGCATCCACGGCGACACAACCTCTTACACCCACCAATACCTAAACCATATCCCTGCCCGGTCACCAATTTCCTTTCCACCATTTATATTTTCCAAGTGATAATGATATAGTAACATATTTCCTATATCTCGTGAGTGACAGGCAATCACTCGACTTCTATCGGTTCCTATAGCATAGCAATCTACACGATCCTGTCATACTAGTAATACTCATATGATAAAGATATATATATGCAAGTGGGTTTCATTCAACTCCTTAAAACTTAATGCGCAAATATAATTTAAACTGCAGAAAGTAGGGGTTATGCACCGGGGCTTGCCTGGGTAAGATATATATTAAAGAGTTAGTATCTGCATCGTCAGATCATCCACCATCAACTGGATAGAAAACCCATTGCATCATCTCCTGGAGAGAATACAATTACACCATCTTCAGATTCCCAATCATCCTTCAATTGATCCGTTGATCCATCATTGTACCTATATGATATGCAATGCGATGCAATGCAAGAAGTAATTAATCAACTGCAATCGGGACTCGTAGAAATACGATCTACGCCTTTCAAGTTAACGGACTAGTTCTAACGACGACCGTACTTAGGCTTTGTATCCATGTTGTTGAATAAGGCGTTACTTCCCAACAATTGTTTTAGTTATACAAACCTAAGTTGTTTTTTATCCTATTCTATCCATTTAATCTTTATTCGGATAGGGCATCATTAGCTACCTAGCAAACCGATTATTCTAGAGCTACAAAAATTACCACGAGTACCTAATATTGCTAGGAGTCTACTGTACAAATTTCAGCTTCAACAATATTACCAATTTATCCTAGAAATTCCTACAAGTTATCTTTTTACCATATTAAGTACCCTAATTTAATTATATAGCTTTCAAGAATATTATCAAACTATGTGAACAAAATATACTAACAGGTAGATTATAATTTTAGGAACTCAACAAAACTGGTTTAGCATTTTTATGATTTTTCTATATTTTATTATCAATTTTCAAGTATTTAGACACTTGCTGAAATTAACAAAACACCAAAAAAGGTAAAAGGTTCCTTGGGCCCGAAGCGGCCCAGCTCGACCTGGTCTAGTGAGCAGTGACCCAGTGCGAAGGCTGGCGCCATGCAAGCGATGAGCAACCAGCATGACGACCATAGGCCGCCCAAAGCTGGAGCGGCAACGGCCAATGGGAGTCCGCCCATGAGAGCAGACTGGCTAAAGGCCCAGGCGGGGCGTGGCCAGCGGCGACCGGCTGGCTCAACGCGCGGACGCAAGCAGTCCAGCAAGCCGACCCACGCGTGGAACCAAGGGAGCCCGCACACTCACGCAAGGGGCCGTCGGCGGCGGAAGGTAGGGACGGTGCTGTGAGCACGGGCGTAGCTACGGCGGTGCACGTTTCGGCAGAGCAAGCAGAAAGGCCAGGAGCACGAGTGAGCGGGGAGGGCGCTCGGAGACAGGGAAAGCAGGCGCGAAAGAAAAAGGCGAGGGCTTGAGCGAGTTCGGCCGAGCACGTGGTCCGGTCGGCGTGTCGGTTGGCGCGGATAGCTCCATAAAGGTGCGCCTGCGCGCGGTCAACTACAACAGTGACGCGGCCGGCAACACGACGACGTCGAGAACAGGCGAGGTAGG